TTCCACGAGTTTTCACATCCGCCTGATTACTGTACGGCAGTGTCGGATCGACCCGTCTTGAAGGAAAGCGAAGTGGGCTTTCCGCTCTCTCATCAGCACAAACGAGTCTCATCCTGCACGGTTCGTACCGGTTTGCGTTCCCGCAAAGTTGAAGTTTCCTTTATCGCAAGTTCCGATTATCGAGAGACTACTGTAAAAATATATCAATATACGGACAACGTTACGTATCAATATACGGACAACGTTACTAACATTGTCCGTAAAGTCGCGAAAACACGTGTTTTGGCCGCGAGATTGCTCGGATTCTCTGATTGCAAAATTTTCAGACGAGTTTCGCAAAACTCACAGCATACCGAAAACTCGGGACATGTGAGTTTTCCACGAATTTTCACATCCGCCTGATTACTGTACGGCAGTGTCGGATCGACCCGTCTTGAAGGAAAGCGAAGTGGGCTTTCCGCTCTCTCATCAGCACAAACGAGTCTCATCCTGCACGGTTCGTACAGGTTTGCGTTCCCGCAAAGTTGAAGTTTCCTTTATCGCAAGTTCCGATTATCGAGAGACTACTGTACTAGATACACTTTTGTTGAAAGATGCATATTTTCACCGCGTCAGGGCTTGTCCCCACAACGGCACATTTTCGGTTTGTCTTTGTCTTGTGTGTTTTTGACGTACTGATCCTCTCGTACACGGCGGTTTGGCCCAACCGAGCGCAGTATTGCCAAACAGCACGCTTTCCCCCTTTTCAAGTCACGAGCCACTGCAAGTGCAGCCCATCAAATTCACAATCTCCATTTTGATGATCACAGGAGCAGACAATCTCGGCGACACGCTTCTATTGCATCTTTTGAAAGGTGGAGATACTTGCTGCCTTCCCTACTCACTATATAAGCTGTGCTTGTCACTTGGTGGTATCGAAACGAAATTACTACATTTCTCTGACGTTGTTCATCCGTCTGCTAAGCATCCTCACCGTCTTCTCGCCTTCGCAATTTCAAACATCCGACATGAGCAACCGTCTAATTGAGGTCAAGGGGAGAATGGAATGGCAACTGAAAGACAGTTTCACCAATCCTTCCCAATTCCATTCTGCTGTTCCATACACCAGAGAGATTGAGAGCTCGGTCACCACGTCTCGAAGCGAAGTCGAAAGCATTGCTCGTGAAGAGAGCAAGTCAACGTCCACTTCAATTTCGTTGGATGTGAGTGCACAGATTAAAATCTTCAATGTGTCAGCAAACACTACGGTCGGCTGGACTTCATCAGTTGTGAACACCAGCATGCATGAGGCCTCTCACACAAATGCAGAGACAAAGGAAACGTCCCAGAAAATTGGGCCCATCAGCATTGAGCCTGGTGAGTCAGTGTACGTATTTGAAAAGAAGATTAAGTTTCCTACCATCTCCTGGGAGACAGGTGAGCTCACGGTCTGGCCCTCGGCGGATATCCCTACTCTCAACGAGGATGTCTTAATGAAAATCCCGGTGCACGAGGCCCCGATAAAGTATCTCAAAGATATCAAGGTGCATACATATGGAGCTATGACCTATTCAAAGGATTTTATGTTATATAAAGACGGCTTGTCCGGCGAATCGAAAAACGTGGAGAGAGAAAATTGGGGTGACATCAACCGCGGCTACGGCGGCAAATATGTGTTTCTGGAACCTGTTTGGGTGGATGACATTTCTCAGGGAGCTGATAACATCTCAGTCCAAATCTCTGGCGGGGTTCCAGGTTGGACGAAGGAACGGGGCCAGCAGGATATGGCAATGGGGGCAGGTGGAGATTACCGCTTTCTGGATATTTGGCACCGTAGGGATGTGAAAGAAAAGATTGTGGACGTCGTGCTGTGGGGCGGCCAGCTTGTTCGAATTCCTGATGGATGGACAGGCATGACGGGGGACTTGAATAAGGGTCGTGGAGGGCGCTACCTTTACATCGTTTGGAAAACGGCCTCCGGATAAGCAGTAGTGTTTCTTTGCACTAGCGGCATGCGTTGGGCAGTCGACATACGACATGGGCAGTAGACCGGTATCGCAAATAGTGAGTGCGCAGCATGAAATATAACCTGGAGCAAGCAAATAAGCAGCAAATCCTCGTAAAGTGATACGCTCAATCGCCTCCTGTTGTTGACAATTGGATCAAATTCACCAGCACTGCAGTCCGATTTGCGTCCAGATGCGGGGCTTTAGCATCGTTGCGCGTGCAGAAAGCCAACAAACACTTGTACACGTGTGTCGAAATCGCTGGGGACTCCGTGCCAAGTGGAGAATATGTAGACAGCTACACTGTACTGTTGTGGGATTCAGTTCTGACATACTGATCTCGCGCGCAGTGGGTGCATCCAGAAAATAGCACTCTAACACTTTACCATTGTATGATAGTTTCGAAAATTGATTGTCCCCACCACTCTTGCACTCCATCACTGCCCTTCCGTGGCGGTTCCACCCCAGTTGGAACATGTTGCGAACTGTACACCCACTCGCACCCCCACTCGCCGACAACCTCCCCATCCCCTAATCCCAAAGCGAGCCACACCTTCCTCCTCAAACCTGGCGCCCGCATTCTGACACTGTCATCTCAACATGGCATCCCATTTGGACGGATCCGACCCTCCCTCTCAAGCTACCCCTTTCCCTCAGCCACCATCCACGCCAAACTCCCCACGCACCCCCAAAAAACGCTCGACACCTGACCAGGAGGAGCTCAGTACTGGCGAAGGAAGCAACAAGAAGGCTAAAAAGTCTCGGGCCGGTGTGCCAAACTACAACAAAGAAGATATCGACGCCCTTCTTGATTTTACTTCAGAGGTAGAGCCTCTCGGCGCCAATCACTGGGCTTGGGTTGCCCAAAAGTTTTCAAGATAGGCAAAAGCTAACGAGCGCCCAGTTCGTGATGGTGACTCTCTCAAGCATAAATTTGATAAGCTTGCCAACACAAAGAAGAAAACCGGGGACCCGTCCTGTCCGCCTCACGTTCGCCGAGCCAAACACATTGCACGTGATATTCTCAACAAATGTGCGGCCACAAGCGTTAGCGGAGACAGCAGTGACGGCAATCAAGAGGCCAATGCAGGCGAGAGCGATAAAGCGGGCACGGGTGGTGATAGTGGCAAAGTAGTCGGGGAGAGGGCTCGAAAGAGAGACACAGGAGCCACCGGTGTGGCAAAGGCTCAACAGATTGAGGAACGATACCTGGAGCACGTTGCAGAAATATCTGCCGGTGTTCAGACTATATCGAAGGCATTCGAGTCCAGCGAATCGACTAACTTGACTCAGAGTAGCGTGGTCTCCATTGTGCGTCACGAGGTTCAAGAGTCAATGCGTCCAACAAACGCGCTTCTGTCGGAGATGATGTCTATCATTCGTAGCCAGTCAAACAAATGAACGATCCGCTTTTATTGTGCTGGTCGCCGGTTACAGTGCGTAGAACGAATTTGGTTTAGGCCGACATGGCGAGTGCGAAAGTTAAACATGTGACAACATATTCTCAGCAAACGATATCGTTTCTTAGAATCTGCAGGAAGAGGCACCTTCAATCTAGCAAAAGGGCCTTTTATTGCCCTCACTCCCCATTCCGCCGACTGTCTTTCACTGGGCATTGCGCGCTGTAAAATTGTATCCACCGCAGCAAGGGCGAGCGAACACGGAATGTCGTTCGTTTCGTTAGACTTTCGTCCTCTAACGACCTTTCCGTTTGTCGCTTTCAAATTATTAACGAATGCGCTATCCCCAAGTACAGCGTATCCAGGCGGCGTGTATTCGTCCGATAACTTTGGAAAGTAAAGACCAGATGCACTGGCAAGTTTAGTGTCGTGCCAGCTCCCCGGGAAATTTATAGCCGCATGAATCAGCTCGCCATAGAAGTTCCAAACGAATAAGTTGGTGACTTCCACCCCTTGGGTGAACCCTTCAAAGTAGGCATTTTGCATATTAGCATCCGTGTAATCTGCACAAGGCACACGACCTCCGTCTGTAACCGCGAAGACACCACTCAACAACGGCCCGTAGTGACGATTTTCTCGAAGTAGCTGCGCTGAGCTTTCCATCTCGGCCGGCGAAGGCCATTTTATTTCGAAATCTGTTCGATTCGTCCGCTTGACGACATGATACAGAACCTCAAGGGCATAATCCATCCAGACTCCAATAGAACTTGGTACTAAACCAAACAGCGGACACAAGCTGTATAGGGTCCCTCTTGTTTTTATGTACCAAAGAGCCAACCCCAACAAATCAATACTTTCCAGTTGCGTACTGCGTCCTCTTGTTTTCGGTCCCTTTCGATAAGGGCTACCGAAGTTATATTTCAATTGTTCCTGTATAAAAAATGGAAGTATACTGTTTAGCAGTAAGGGCTTCGTGATATTTACGGATACAAGGAAGTCGGAGTCTTTCCCGAACGAGAGAAGCACGCGCCAAGGAGTGGACCGCTGTGTGCGAGGGCGAATAATGGCTGGGCGGAGGTACTTTGGGTTCTTGTTGCGATGACGGCGCTTGCGGCGCATTGTTGTCCTCCTCCGGGCGACAAGACATGTCGTCAGAGCTGCTAGCGATACTGCTAGAGCTGCCAGAGTGTGCTTGCGGCTGTTCTGAAAGGGCATTGGCGAAGCGGGCATCACCGACAGCTCGAGAGAGGGGTCTTGGAATGTGGAACTCCAGTGCGCAAGGATGGAATGGGAAGTGGTGCGGGAGTGGTGGAGTGGAGAGGGGTCGAGAGGGCTTGATCAGATGGTCAAAAGTAGTCAGCCGGCGACCACTTTATCGGTCGCTGATTGGTCAAAAAAGTACTCGAGTGATACAGTGTTATTTTCTGGATGCACCCAGTACTGTACAGTGTAGCTGTCTACATATTCTCCACTTGGCACGGAGTCCCCAGCGATTTCGACACACGTGTACAAGTGTTTGTTGGCTTTCTGCACGCGCAACGATGCTAAAGCCCCGCATCTGGACGCAAATCGGACTGCAGTGCTGGTGAATTTGATCCAATTGTCAACAACAGGAGGCGATTGAGCGTATCACTTTACGAGGATTTGCTGCTTATTTGCTTGCTCCAGGTTATATTTCATGCTGCGCACTCACTATTTGCGATACCGGTCTACTGCCCATGTCGTATGTCGACTGCCCAACGCATGCCGCTAGTGCAAAGAAACACTACTGCTTATCCGGAGGCCGTTTTCCAAACGATGTAAAGGTAGCGCCCTCCACGACCCTTATTCAAGTCCCCCGTCATGCCTGTCCATCCATCAGGAATTCGAACAAGCTGGCCGCCCCACAGCACGACGTCCACAATCTTTTCTTTCACATCCCTACGGTGCCAAATATCCAGAAAGCGGTAATCTCCACCTGCCCCCATTGCCATATCCTGCTGGCCCCGTTCCTTCGTCCAACCTGGAACCCCGCCAGAGATTTGGACTGAGATGTTATCAGCTCCCTGAGAAATGTCATCCACCCAAACAGGTTCCAGAAACACATATTTGCCGCCGTAGCCGCGGTTGATGTCACCCCAATTTTCTCTCTCCACGTTTTTCGATTCGCCGGACAAGCCGTCTTTATATAACATAAAATCCTTTGAATAGGTCATAGCTCCATATGTATGCACCTTGATATCTTTGAGATACTTTATCGGGGCCTCGTGCACCGGGATTTTCATTAAGACTTCCTCGTTGAGAGTAGGGATATCCGCCGAGGGCCAGACCTTGAGCTCACCTGTCTCCCAGGAGATGGTAGGAAACTTAATCTTCTTTTCAAATACGTACACTGACTCACCAGGCTCAATGCTGATGGGCCCAATTTTCTGGGACGTTTCCTTTGTCTCTGCATTTGTGTGAGAGGCCTCATGCATGCTGGTGTTCACAACTGATGAAGTCCAGCCGACCGTAGTGTTTGCTGACACATTGAAGATTTTAATCTGTGCACTCACATCCAACGAAATTGAAGTGGACGTTGACTTGCTCTCTTCACGAGCAATGCTTTCGACTTCGCTTCGAGACGTGGTGACCGAGCTCTCAATCTCTCTGGTGTATGGAACAGCAGAATGGAATTGGGAAGGATTGGTGAAACTGTCTTTCAGTTGCCATTCCATTCTCCCCTTGACCTCAATTAGACGGTTGCTCATGTCGGATGTTTGAAATTGCGAAGGCGAGAAGACGGTGAGGATGCTTAGCAGACGGATGAACAACGTCAGAGAAATGTAGTAATTTCGTTTCGATACCACCAAGTGACAAGCACAGCTTATATAGTGAGTAGGGAAGGCAGCAAGTATCTCCACCTTTCAAAAGATGCAATAGAAGCGTGTCGCCGAGATTGTCTGCTCCTGTGATCATCAAAATGGAGATTGTGAATTTGATGGGCTGCACTTGCAGTGGCTCGTGACTTGAAAAGGGGGAAAGCGTGCTGTTTGGCAATACTGCGCTCGGTTGGGCCAAACCGCCGTGTACGAGAGGATCAGTACGTCAAAAACACACAAGACAAAGACAAACCGAAAATGTGCCGTTGTGGGGACAAGCCCTGACGCGGTGAAAATATGCATCTTTCAACAAAAGTGTATCTAGTACAGTAGTCTCTCGATAATCGGAACTTGCGATAAAGGAAACTTCAACTTTGCGGGAACGCAAACCTGTACGAACCGTGCAGGATGAGACTCGTTTGTGCTGATGAGAGAGCGGAAAGCCCACTTCGCTTTCCTTCAAGACGGGTCGATCCGACACTGCCGTACAGTAATCAGGCGGATGTGAAAATTCGTGGAAAACTCACATGTCCCGAGTTTTCGGTATGCTGTGAGTTTTGCGAAACTCGTCTGAAAATTTTGCAATCAGAGAATCCGAGCAATCTCGCGGCCAAAACACGTGTTTTCGCGACTTTACGGACAATGTTAGTAACGTTGTCCGTATATTGATACGTAACGTTGTCCGTATATTGATATATTTTTACAGTAGTCTCTCGATAATCGGAACTTGCGATAAAGGAAACTTCAACTTTGCGGGAACGCAAACCGGTACGAACCGTGCAGGATGAGACTCGTTTGTGCTGATGAGAGAGCGGAAAGCCCACTTCGCTTTCCTTCAAGACGGGTCGATCCGACACTGCCGTACAGTAATCAGGCGGATGTGAAAACTCGTGGAAAACTCACATGTCCCGAGTTTTCGGTATGCTGTGAGTTTTGCGAAACTCGTCTGAAAATTTTGCAATCAGAGAATCCGAGCAATCTCGCGGCCAAAACACGTGTTTTCGCGACTTTACGTATATTGATACGTAACGTTGTCCGTATATTGATATATTTTTACAGTAGTCTCTCGATAATCGGAACTTGCGATAAAGGGAGCTTCAACTTTGCGGGAACGCAAACCGGTACGAACCGTGCAGGATGAGACTCGTTTGTGCTGATGAGAGAGCGGAAAGCCCACTTCGCTTTCCTTCAAGACGGGTCGATCCGACACTGCCGTACAGTAATCAGGCGGATGTGAAAACTCGTGGAAAACTCACATGTCCCGAGTTTTCGGTATGCTGTGAGTTTTGCAAAACTCGTCTGAAAATTTTGCAATCAGAGAATCCGAGCAATCTCGCGGCCAAAACACGTGTTTTCGCGACTTTACGGACAATGTTAGTAACGTTGTCCGTATATTGATATATTTTTGGGCCAGTTTGCGTTTAGGGGGGCGACCAGGTGCATTTTAGTGGCAACAGAGGGGTGAAATCGGAAATGTTGGAGAGAACAAGGGGTGACGTTGGTAAGTTTGCAAGACGTACCCATCCGATAGAGGTTTATTTGTAAGGATCACTGTGGCGACCATCGCAAGTCAGAGGTGGCAGGAAAGAAATTTGCAGGTAAAGAGGGGCGACAACAGTTGCCAACAGTGGACAGTGCAATATTTTGTACAAGATAAGGGGCGACTTCGGATACTGCGGCGGTACTGAAGGATAGGGTACTCTGCGGTATCCCCGTACAGCTGCTTCAGAGAGCAGTCCTTCATCGTGTGATCCGATAACCGACACAAAGAACAGGAGTACACACGCTTCTTCTTGGCGGCAGGGCCTTTTTCGTACCAGTTTTTCTTACGCCTCCCAGCCCTCTTAACTGGACGACCGCGCGGTGGCGGCAAAGCTTTGGGAATTTGCAGATTCTGCCTCTTCGCAACAAGCTTCTTTGCACTGCATATAACATTGTCGACGCATGCTTGCGAAGGAAGATTGTAATCAACATTTTCGTATTGCTTGACCCAAGTTGCTGTTAGGTGGCGATCTTCAATAAATCGATGAAGCTTACTTTCTCCATACTTCTCGATGAGAACATCAGTTTCATGCCAGCACGGAAATCCAGATCCGTTTGTGGAATAAGCGCAACATAGTGGAGGGGTTTGGGGATTCTTACTCAGTGTGACATGGCGCAGCACAGTTCCATTCTGCTGACTAGCTACTGTCACCTCCATTTGAGATGTCCCATCCAGGAAACGGATGGAGGACTGATATGCGCGAGCTCGCTGAATTAGGTATGCAAGGTGGCTCTCTGTACGAGCCGGAACTGGAGATGAACAGGATAAGGCGCTTTCTTGACGACGCAGAAACTTTGTCCTTTGCACAAGGACAACCCTTGTAAGCATCTTCTGAGGCTCAACGGAACGTATGTTATTCCTCAGGTCTGCGGAAATTTGGCTTTCTGCTCCTTGTGACGTTGTCACAAGGTCTTGTAGGTTAGAAAATGCCCTGTAGACTTCAGCATCCTTGAAGCGACCCAAATAGATCTTCTGTTTCTCTGGAAACTCCTCTTTCAGGGCTCGCACATGTTCTCTTGACGGAGCATTGACTGCTCGTTCATACAAAAGAATGGCGACGCCCTTATTTGAACCTAGTTGGGCAGACATGTTCTTCTTCACGTGAAGGGGATCAAGGAACAAAGACGCATTTTTCATCACATCTCTGTACGCTGCATCAATTGATTTCTCTTGATCGACGATTGTCACCCTCTTCTCAGTGTCAAATCCAGGAATGTCAGCACATGCCTGGAACACCTTGCCCCATGAGCTCTTGTTCTCCGGACCAACGAAGTGGGCAAAAACGATGGGGTGAAGCTGATGATTAGCATCGTACCCGACCACTTGAAATGTTGTCCCATACGATTGCAGCCCTACTCCATCACAGTGAGCGGCATCCGCGCTTGCTGTCAGACGGCCACTCTCGCAGTAGCTCTTCGCAATGGAAGGAACGAACAACAATCCACTGTAGTAGCGGCCGTCTTCAATATCAAATACGTCCACATCTTCAGAATTAAACGTAGCATCGCTTGGTAGGTCATTCCCCTTCCTGCACTGTTCGAAAATGTGTCGAGCCGCCTTCATCCGTTGCGCCTTCACCTCCGCTGCACTGCAATAGAAGATGTCCACCCTATGCCCCACCCCCCTAAGCAAATCGGCGTACCCTTCCAATGCGGCCATGTCCACCGCCCTAGAGATTGTAAAGTGACGAAGCAGATCTCGTCTAATACTTCGATAGTGACTGTATGGAGGTTGACGGAAGTATATGCGCTTGGCTCGAACAACCGAAGCAATCACTTTGCAAGGCACATTCGGATCATCTTGCATATGCTCCAGAATTGCTCGAGCAACCTGCTGCGGGGTGTACGCAGGTGCACACAACGACGAACGTGACGTGATTTTCATTGGGCTGTCAGCGACGTGTTGTCCAAAACACTCATTAAGGTGGTCTTGGTACTTGTTCAGCTTCCAAAGACCCGTTTTTGGTTGCCAATCGAACACAAATGTGGAAGAACATCCATCTGTGCGGCATTTAATGCGCACTTTTACAGTAGTCTGCAAAATATTCACTCCCCGTTGCACCCCGAGAATCGCCGTGTGAGCTCGAATGAGCTGCTCACATCTCCACCGGGCATTCAATGCCATCCCCACCTTCGGTCTTACGTCCACAATTGGACGAGGCTTCCATGTCATCGCAGGCAATCGTTCCGCTCGCAGAGCTTCCTTCGCACGGAGCATGGTTCGGTGCTTCGATTGGCGCTTTTGCAACGCTAGACGACTTTTCTTGTCAGTGCCATCCGGAATGGGATCTTCAGTACGCTCCTCTATTTCTTCTTCCTCGATTTCAATGGCAATGTACCGCATGGGGTCGAAGTCCTCGTCCGACCTATTTTCTTCATCGGAAGCAGTGGCCAAGCGCCCGGGTGCTTCTCCTTGCTCCTCCATGTCACCCCCCGTTTCCTCACTACCTACTTTATCTCCTTCATCATCGAAATCAACGGAGTCGACATCCTCTTCCATTCTCACCCCATCCCCAGACACCCCTAAATTCTCGCCATCGCCATGCTAAGCTTCCACTCTGTCCTCACGGCACTCAGGAGTGAGATCCTCTTCTCTTATTTCTTCTGTATCGCGAAAAGACCACAAAGGAGAACGGGTGTGGAACGGTGGTGGTGTCGTAAATTCCTCGACTTCATGATCATGAACATCACTCGCCATTGCATCTCTGTACGGACCATCTTCGTCTCTCTCGGCACATTCACTCTCCGTCTCAGCCTGCAAATAGGCAGCCTTCGCCCTCTCCGCTCTCTCCTTTTCCTCCCTCTCCTCCCTCTCCTTTCGCAACTGTACAGCCCTAGCCCTCTCTTCCATTTCCTTTTTCAACTGCACAGCCCTTGCTCTCTCCTTCCTTTCCTTTTGCAACCGCGCAGCCCTAGCTCTCTCTTCCCCTTCCTTTCTAAATTTCCCAGCCCTTGCTCTCCCCTCCCTCTCCCGCTCCGCTTGTTCCTCGCTATCACCACCAACCTCCGAAGCGCCCTTCTCAGCCTCCTTCTCACACCGATCGTCGTCCGCATCTTCTCTCTCACGTTTGCTTCTGTATCGGTGCTGCTGCGCAGCGCGCTCCATTCTGTCAAGAGAAATTTCCCGTTGGGAAGAAGTCTTGCTGAAAACGATGAACGCCGGAAGCAAAACGGCGTCACCATCCTTAATATTGTCATCACTCTCCTTAATGTTCTCATGCAGTTCCTTGTACCGTACCTCGCTTTCAGCTTGCTGCATAGCTCGCGTGAGTACCTTCATACACCTATCCGCACAACGCGGCTGCACTGCGTGTACCTTATCCGGGTGGACTAGAACTGCAAGGCGT